AATAAAGCATGGAGATGCAGATGGATGGGTGAGATTGATTTGATTATTAAAAATGAATCCGTGTTTTAGGTGGTGGTGGTGTGGTGCTCAGATAATTATTCACTTTTCACTCCCATAGATGTTGATGAATAGAAAGTACAGATAACAGAAGTGTCCAAGTCACCCATAGCAACAAAACTCCAGTTGTAATTTTAAAATGTGAATTAGAACAGTCAGTGCTCAACCACATGCCCCTAAAATTAAAATTTTTCCACACCTGTTCTCACACTATGTTCTCTTTTGGAGAGACAGGGTAAACAGGAAAGGTGGTGGTGGCTGTCTCTATGTGAGAAGTGATCTCAGAGCGAGTGTGAAAGAGGACCTAGTTGATGGAGAGTGTGATGAGGCTGAAGTATTATGGATAGAACTGCACATGGGGGTGCGTACTACAAAGGTAATCATTGTAGTTTGTTATTGGCCTCCCAGTGTTAATGAGGAGGTGGAGACTCAGATCCTTACACAGACTGAAAGGGCTGCAAGGGATGGGACAGTGATAATAGTGGAAGAGTTTAACTACCTGGAGAATAACTGGAGTAATGGTACTGCAGGAACAGTGAAAGGGCAAAAATGTATAAACCTACTACAGGACAATTTTATGGTACAGTTCATAGAGGCTCCAACTAGGAATGATGCTCTGCTGGTCCTGATAATCTCAAACCATGCATAGCTTATTACATATAAAAGAACATCTGGGTAGCAGTGACCATAACATGATTTAATTTATCGTTAGCTGTAAACAAGCACATACGGGAAAAATAAAAACACAACTTTAAGAGAGCTAATTTTCCAAGGCTGAGCGCTGCTCTTCAAGACTTAGACTGGGAGGCAATATTGGCATCGATGAACACAACACAGAAATGGGAGTTCTTCAAAAAGACTGCAAAATATATTCCCATGGGCAAAAGGCTAAAAATAAAACCTACGTGGCTTACGGCCAAAGTTAAAAAAAACTATAAATAATAAGAAAAAAGCTTTTATTAAATATAAAAATGAAGGAACACTATCATCGTTTAAACATTACAAAGAATATAACAGAATATGTAAAAAGGAAATCAAGGCCGCAAAAATTTAAAAAGGACAGATTGCAAAAGATAGCAGGACAAACCCCAAAAAATTATTCAAATATATTAATAAGTAAAAAGGTCTGGTCCGAGCATGTAGGCCCTTTACAAAATAATCTAGAGTGGGTGACTGGGGACAAAGAGAAGGCAAATAGATTAAATACCTCCTTCAGCTCTGTGTATACAAAGGGGTATGGGGGAGCTCTTGTCCATGATGGGCAAGGTATTGACACAGTTCCAGATGATCCATATCGGCTCACAATTGATATAATCCAAAAATGGCATTTGGCAGGTTTAAGAGAAGAAAAATGTGAGGGGGTAATTTTAAAAAATTCTATTTGTACCCTTTTGAAACCACTTGTGACCCAGAGGGATGCAAACTGCAAACAGACGTACCTAAGGATAAGTTCACCTTTCCAAAAAAATAAAATAAATGCACATTTTTGCAGGTAAAAAAAATGTGCATTTATTTTATTTTTTTAGTATCCTGTAAAGCATTGCACCCATGTTCAGCAGATCGTGAATGCAATGCAGGGCTCCTGCAGGTTGTCAGCTTGTACCTCATAGGGGCAGGCAGTTACACAATGACAGGAAGACTCAATTAACTACTTAAGAGTGCTCACTAGTGCCTACTTCATTGAGAACTACAAGCTGTCAACCGCAAAGGCTGTCAAGTACTTGTAGTTCATTCATTCATAGATCTCTTTGAATTAATGACGTGGCCATGTGGGTGGAGCCCCTCACGGCCATGCTTTTTTTCAAATTGTGCCAACGGGTGCCGGAAGAAGATCCCCAGTCCGCTATCACAATGAAGGGGAGATAAGTGAGAGGCTGCAGAAGTGGGAACATGTTCCCAAAGGTGAATTTATCCTTTAAGAGTCCCTTTATTGTGAAGAAGGCTTTGTGGCAGACCTGTTTTTTGTGTTCCAGGTCTTGTGCCTAAAGAAAGGCTGAATTTGGACTATGAAGATAAAGCCTTGGAAGAGTGATGAAACGCTCTTCATTTAGAGACAGCCAAGGCAGGGGTTTTGGAGCCTTTCATTGTTGAAGAAGGGCCTTTCCTGCTGTGACCTTTTTTTTTTTTTACTAGTCAAGTGTATCACCTCTTGAGATGTCCTCTTTCAAAGGGCATACGAGTTTCGTGTCTTTCACAGGCAGCTTCAGTTGTCCAGGCTATTAGCAAAAGGAGTCTGCACGTGGACAGAAATGAGTCACTCTTGAAATTTATGCTATGACTTATCAGGCATGAACACAGAAAAGTAGGGTGGAAGGTGATGTTTGTAAGTGTTCCACCAAACATTGGTCCTGGAATACAAGATCCTGTCATTTGGACAATTAGCTGCAGTTTGACAGAGATTGCATCAATAGTCTGTTTAACAGAAGGGCCTGCAAGAGCAAAAAGAACAAAAAACAAACATTTAAAAGGAACATTTTCTATAGGCACAGTAAGAGGTTTATTTAAAACTTAGATGGCAGGGTCTACTACCAGAACAGTCCACTTTGCAAGTCAAGTCAAGCACTGTCACTGAGCAGTTTGAGTGCGTTGCAAACCTTTGGCAGAATGGGATTCTGATGGAGATTTTGCGCAGTTTCCTTGCACCTGGGTTCCACTATTGCCATCAACATGGGTATTGCCTGAGGGAATACTCAAGGTGTAGGGTTTGGAAATGGGGTAAGCACATCTGCAGAAGTATATACAGTGACTTGTGGTGTCAACCTTCCTCTAGCAAAGTTCTCATTGCAAAAGGGCGACAGGAAGTGTCTCAGTACAGGCTCTGGGCGGAAGAGGTGGTAAAGGTGCAACCTACGAGGTAACGTAGCACCTAGTCATTCACCTGTGACTAATCTATGAATAGTGGAATTTTTACCACCAGGTCTGAAAGTTAACAATCGTTAACTGATAAACTGAAATCCCTAGTTTCCTGAAAGGGGACACCCACAATAATGACAAACCTGTCTTTCATGTTGCTGGTTCCTATATGGGTCAAATGTTTCACCTGTCACGATGGGTATACCCTCAACAATGCCTTCAGGGTCTGGGAACCAAAGGAATGCACCCTGAGGCTAACTAACTTGTTGAACTCAGTGGTAAGGCAAGCACCCAAGCAGAATCCAGTGCTCAAAGTGCCATACAGAATGGGGTCTGGGTGTAGCTCCCAAGGTATTACACTGATCTGGATGCACTACTTCTAATGTTATAGAAGGCAGTGAAGGCATTACCTAAAGACACTTCCAAAAACCTGAGGTCTCACTGAGTGGGGTAGGGTTATATGGGTACACCCAGACTGCATGTCCAAAAGCTTTGCCAGTGTCCAAATCACCTGAAGATAACAGCCTATAGCTCAAGGTCTATGCCTATCCTGATATTAAAATATCAGGATGTGTAGGTAGGCAGCCCCAATGCCAGGATGCCCCCCCCCCCCCCCCCCCCCCCCGATGAAGCAAAGCAATCACTGACCAAGAGGCCTCCATCCTGAGTTTTTGTACTTTCAGAACCCTATGGAGATCGCTGCCCACAGGATACAGTGCCAGATGACATTACAGTCCATCCCTGTTCTTGTATGCAGGGTACACTCTCCTTTTTGCCACCTGGCCATATGCATCCAATCCAAATGAAGTAGGGGTATTCAGAATAGACCAGAAAATGGACGAAGAGGTCATCTCCCCGTCACTCTGATTTTTCTTGTCTGATTATTTGCATTTTCTGCTTCTGCCTCTCACACTCCAGCTCTGCTGTACAGGGACTGCCAGAGGTTAAAACCAGGTCAAATTCAAATACTTACACTCCTTGCATTAGGAGAAAAAACACTTTTAAATGACATATTCATGACCACAGAGCTGCATTACTGAGTTCGTCTTTCTCACACTGCCTTGGAGGAAGTCTGCTGCCAACAATGGCCTTCCTTCACCTGTAACAAGAATGATATCATGCAATCTCCTCAATTCAAGTAACAGACCAAACAATGATTTTTTTTTTTTCCCCTGTAAATGACAGACTTGTTTGTTTGCTATCAGCCGAGTATTGCTTTCGAAGCTTCTCAGTCCAGAGTATCTCTTCCAATGCAGAAAAACAAAGGCTCTTCTGCAGTAGTTTAGTAATAGCTTGACTGGTTTTTTTTTTTTGTTTGTTTTTTTTTTTTAAATCTGGCAACTGCGCTACACTTTCTTTTTTTTTTTTACACAAGTTTTCACCTCCTAAAACAGACACCTAAGCCAGCTATAAGCGGCTTAAAAATTTGGCCGGTTCTGCAGGGACCAGTCTCCCCACTGGTGGAATACAATAGCTCAGAAGGGAGGATTCCCCCATCCACACAGAGTGTGTGGATGTGGGAATCAAATCAGTTTTTTTTGTTCAACCCACTGGTTGAATAAAAAAAAAGGAAAAAAGAAAATAGACTAATTTATGGGCTGCTTTTTACTGAGAGAAAAAAAACATTCATTCTGAATACACTAGTTGACTTGGTAGTATCTGTCTTATCACACTTCTGAAATACTAGCTGAAAACAGTTATGCAGCCAGCAAACTCGGAACTCCTGATCGGTTACATTTCATTTGCTGAGAAAGTATTAAAAAAGCTGGATCAGCATGAAAGTCAAGCAAGTAGTTGCAAAAGGAGAGGACAGCAGTGGCAGCGTCCATGTTCTCCCAGCATGTTTCCTTTATGAGCTTCTGATCTTTGAGGAATGGAAGGGTGTAAACAACCAAAGAATCATGTGATCTCATCAACTGACATTAATATGAAGCACAAACTAATAAATCATCAACGGTGAAACATACCTCATAGCAAAAAAGTTATTTACTATACATAAGGCAGCAAGTGCCAAGCAAGACAAACAAGGTACAAATGCTAATAAATTTAACAAAGAACAAGTCTATAAACTGTATGAAAAGTCAAATCTGCTAGAACATCATTGCTTCCAGTCCATCCTCCATGAATTTCTTGTAAATGGCCATAAACTTTGCCACAAAGGCTTCCAGGTGATAAATTGCTTTGCTGCCCAGCTGCAGCCGATGTTCATAATAAGCCGCCATCTGCGCCACATCAGCTTTCAACTGCCCATCACAGTTATTGAGAAGCTCTGATAACAGTGACTGCATAGCAAACAGAGAATACATATAAAATGTTAGCAATGAAGATTTAAAAGCAGTATAAAAGGACAATTGTAAAAAGACAAATATGAGTGCTGCCATGGCTGACTTGTTTTTAAGGGAATTTCAAGACAGTACTTTGAGAGATGTTTGTTCATTATGGCCTTATGTAGTTCAGGCAACATTAAAAATAAACCTAAAATAAAAATACTGACTCTAGGGTCAACACTGCAACTGTCACAAAAATTAACTAAAAATAAAATAAATTAACTGCTTTCCAACCATGCTATAGCCAAAAGACAGCTACAGTGCGGTTGTCCAGTTCTGGGAGGGCGTTCATGAACGTGCCCCCTGCGGCGCAGTCGGTAATCCCTGTCCTCCAGACACAGCTTATCATGTGATAAAGGTTAAAGGCCTTTTACTATGTGATCAGCTGTGTCCAATGACACAGCAGATCGCAAGGGGGTAAAACTGCCCGGTAGGCAGTTGCCGGTTATTGGCTGCACTTTCCTCAAGCTGTCACAGCATGAGGAAAGTGATGCCGATAACCAGCAAATGTGACAGGGGAGATCTGCACCAATTATCAGTGCTGCCTATCAGTGCCCATCATTGCTGCATATCAGTGCCTCCTCATCAATGCCCATCAGTGCTGCCTCATCAATGCACATCAGTGAAGGAGAAAAAATTACCTGTTTGCATCATTTTACAATAGAAACAAAGAAAAAACTTTTCAAATTTTTTTAATTTACAGTGCAAAAAATAAAAATCCCAGTGGTGATTAAATACCAAAAGAAAGCTCTATTTGTTAAAAAAAAAGATTAAAATTCCATATGGATACAATGTTGCATGACCACGCAATTGTCATGCAAAGTGCACTGTGTGTGATTCAGCAGTAGCTGTTATATCTGTACTAACTTCATAAGTTTGAGAATGAGAGTAGAGCCTCTGAGAAAAGCAGTGTGCATCCAGGATCGAAGTTTCTACTGAGTTATGGTCCGTTAATCCACCTGTATGTTTACATGCCCTTATGAATGTAGCCTTGCTTGTAAGCTTGTGCCAGCTCCTTTCCTCTCCGCTGTCTTTAATCCACTTATTCACCATGACTCTGTGTAAATGAAAAACTCACTGACTGTCTGATCAGGCAGAGGGAGCCCAATCAGTACCTCTCTTTCACACAGAGCCGAAACAAGGATGCTGACATGAAGACCAAAGAACCCCAATACAGCCTGATCCACCTGACAGTTCATAAACCTATTTACACTAAAATAATTAACCAAACCACAGCTACATTTCCTTTCAGATTATTTTATACCATGAGAGTAAAATGGTAACAATGTTAGTTAAATCCCACCTACACAGACCACAAAAATCTTCTTGGGACACCAACAGAACCTCACCATGTAAGTAGAATACTCAGTGTCAATATATCCTCTGTTTTTACTTTCCCTGGATAGTATGGCTTTTTATATAGAATAGAAACCCATACCCTCCTCTTTAGGTACCTGATGGTTCCTAAACACAAAAGCTATTAGATCTCCAGATTTAACCCAAAGATAAAAAACAAGTCCAGGGCGATGCTCTGTCTGAAAAAATATAATACTAAAAAAAAAAAATGCTTTGTACCTGCTGGGATCTGCCAGAGTTTTAATTATGCAGTTAACCAAGTGGAGCTTGTGCTCACGTCACTTGCATGCTGGAGCCGATACCATCGACGTTGTTTTTCACTTAATTTAGTTTGATTGGGCACTAAGTGCAGTTTTTAATCTCCTCTACAGATGCAATTAACCTCCCTTGGTAAATGAAGACATCCAAAATAATTATTGCCAGGCTCAAACCCCCTAAATGGGTGGGATTATTTGAAATACAGAAATACAAAACAATATCCAGAAAGCCATCCAAGCAATGCTGTGTTTTATTATTTCTACTATTCATGCGGGACTGGAACAATAGGTACCCAAAAGAGCATTCTGTGGCAATGCATCAGAGTAATGTTAATTCCACAAGTTGAAACCAGACTGCTTCCATTATTCAACAAATGTATCAGTTGGTATCTAATTTATCTCCAATCAATGAAGCAGCAACATTATGAGAGAAAACATCTTTTGCTGGTCGCCAATAAGCTGAAGTTTTATGTCATTTTCCTCTCCAATACAGAAATGTAACAATTATGATGTATATCATATACCAACAAAAACTGATATGTGATATAGAAGTCTATGAACATACCTTCATTATGACTTCAGGAGGGATACAGTGTGTCAGAAGCTCATAAAGTTTTCCACGAACTTCAAGTAACCTACAAAAAAAAAAACCCCAAAAAATTTCATGGCAATACAGGAAGGAGATTAGAAATTAAAATATAAAAAGATATACAGCAGTAAACTAAGAGTCAAAAAAGTTGCAAATACATATGCCAACACTCTCTGAATTATCGCCTAAAAAAAAAAAAAAAAAAAAAAAAAAAAAAAAGTCTCAAAATCTAGCTAACGTGTCCAAAAGATAATGGTATATGACCTATGTGATTGACCTTTGTGGTGTCTGTTGATTAACAATTGCGTTGGCTGTCTCCTTCACATAAACCTCCCAATCTGTTTCTGGTAAGTCTTGGTCTGAACTGAAGGGATACCTGTTCAGGAAAACAATGTTTTATATAACCAACAGGTTTCTAAAAACATCAAGAGCAGTTACATCATACACATACTTGCTTGATACCATGACCTTAAAAAAGGGAACATGTGACCAAATCAGTGTTTTTGATTTGCCTGTCTTTCAAAGATTTATTTAAAGTTTTTTTTTTTAAACTTGCATTCCATTAGGTAGAACATTTGGTCTATCCACCATTTACATTTCAGGGGCACCACATATCAAAATCTCAGTGTAAGGCATTTGTATATGTTCAATATAATCTATCCAGAAATCAGAAAAATAGAGTTAACTGCAAAACTTTTAATATCACCTGCTGCAAAATGTGCCACAGATCGACTCCAATGCTTTTCACCAAGCAGGAATGCACAAAATTATTAAGAGTTATCGCTTGGCACAATTTTGCTGTAGTTTTTGCTAATGGTGAAATTGTCAGTGTTGCAGCAAACTAGATTTCCCCACTCATTCCGAATCAGCAAAGGCTCAGTGTCTACGTGGAAAGAAGTAAAATAACGATGTACTGCAAATGATGCAGCTTAGAAAGTTATAGTTATAAAGAAAAATATAAAAAGGTTAACCCTACCTGCTCTGTGCAGCAACATTGCACAGAGCAGTTCCTTACCTACTATTTGGCAGTCCCCTGCAAGCCCTCTCCACTCCTTTTTCCTCTGGGTACCCCCTCAGCAAGTCATGTACTAAGGAGGCACCGGGCTGGCACACTCACAGGAGTTTGACTGACAGCAGCAGGTGCCTATGGCTCCCACTGCCCTCAAGTCTCCTGTGAGACTAGAAAGAGTAGAGCGGTGCTGCAGGTAGCTCCAGGTACGTGTTTAGGGATGGGGGTGTAGGAAAGATAGCATGGAGTTTTTTTACCCTAATGTATAGAATGCATTAAGCTAAAGAAATGTAAACTTTAGAACCACTTAAACAATTTAAAGTACTGTATACAGAGTGCCATCTCCTGCAGGTATTACCTGAATTGCCTTATTTAGAAAACAGGGTGTGCAATGAAAGAGAAAGGCTACCAGGACAAGAGTGAACGTTGGCCAATTACCTTAACCTACTGTGACAGCAGAAGACAACGGCCTCTTACATGTCTGCTGCATATAAAAGAATCACTGAAACGGTCGGTGAAAATGCACAGCCTGCACTGCGCATTTCATAGCAGATTCTGCATATCCAAATGTATAACTACTGTCAGGTTAGTTTTGAAAATTGTACTTACACTTACCATCCTCTCCCCTTCAGGTAGAGGAATTTTCCTTTTTGCTGGACATTATTATTATTATTATACAGGATTTATATAGCGCCAACAGTTTGCGCAGCGCTTTACAATATAAGGGAGACAGTACAATTACAATACATTTCAGTACAGAAGGAATAGGAGGGCCCTGCTCATGGAGCTTACAATCTAAAGGAAGGGGGAGGTGATACAAAAGGTGATAACTGTGGGGGATGATCTGGCGGAGGTGATTCAAGTACAGTTCTTAGGTGGAGGTGGGGTAGACTTCCCTGAAGAAGTGAGTTTTCAAAGATCGCCTGGACATAATAGATGAATCCAGCTGGGAAGGAAGGGTACAGCCAGTAAATCACCCGGCAGATCCACCTAATGAGGAACCCCTACAGCTGGCAGCACAGGAGTAGGGGATCTTGGCACTGGTCAGGTTGAGCAGGGGACTGATATCTACCAAATGACAACTCCCCTTTCACAATAAAGGAGGTTGCTAAAAGCGCTGGCAGATTCCTCCTCCTCCCTCAGGAGCCACTACCTAGAGTCAAATCAGCCGAGAAGGAATTCAGTCAGCCCTCCAAACTACCTCGGAGAAACCCTAGATAGGGAGAGCCCAGCAGTGTCCGGTCACCATAAGCCCCACACTAAGGGGTCCCAGGTGACAGATTAAAGGCTAGGTAAAAATCTAGGGACAAACAAGTAAAAGCAAGTAGGTACAGCAACCTGCACCTTATCTGTGTGCTGCTGGTACCCAGGTGTGCCTGCACTGCAGTCTGCATTGAAGAATCCAAAATGCAGCATTAGCTCCTCCACCTGGAGCGCCCTGACAGCCCGTGCTTGAAGGAAAAACTATTAAAAGCAACCAGCTAGCCCTTCCCTTGTGCTAACAATAAGGCTTGGAACAAGAGCCTCCGGTGCCTGGAAAGGACTACCCCCTACCGGGATTAATGCCCCTGCATCATACGGTCAAAGAAGAACACAGACAGGCCACAAACCCAATGCAACCATCTCGTGAGTCCTTGCCAAAAAGTGCCCTACAGTGCATACACCCAGAATGGAAAACCCACGCTGCCTGTGCTGATCCCTGTCAAGGGGGTATGCCACTTCCAGACATGGCCTTCGCTAGACACAGAAGGAGAAAGGGAACCAAGCAAACCTCCTTCCATACTGAGGAGTGGTCTTGGAGGGCAATCTAGCAGAGAACCCTACCAGCTGCTCCCAGGGGAGCCAGGTAGGTAAAAGGTGTGGGTGGAAGAAAAGTCTAGCCAGAAAACCAGAGGCCTCTCTCACCCAGGTTCCATGTGATGCATCTGCTCCGGCCAGAGGAAACACAATCAAACTGACCGGTTCAGCAGAGGGACTTCCTTCCATCTTTCATGGGCTGTCCTGGAAGACGATTTGGGAAAGATAGCAGGGAGCTTTTTTTACCCTAATGCATAGAATGCATTAAGCTAAAGAAATGTAGACTTTAGAACCACTAACCATTTACAGTACTGTGTACTGAGTGCCATTTCTTGCAGATATTACTTGAATTTCCTTATTTAGAAAACAGTGTGTGCAATGAAAGAGAAAGGCTACCAGGACAAGAGTAAATTGTGGCCAATTATGTTATCCTACTGTGACAGCAGAAGACATCGGCCTCTTACATGTACGCAGCATGTAATCGCGGCACTGAAATGGTTGGTGAAAATGCACAGCATGCATTGCGCATTTCATAATGGAATCTGCATGTCCAAATGTAAAAGTGCTGTCAGTGTAGTCTTGAGAAGTGTGCTGAATCCCAGCCATTTCTTCACTGGTGCTGTACTGCCATCAGGGGGTTCAAAATGAAAAGTGCAACCTACTTTACATTACTATGAATCTTTATCTAGTCTCTCTGAAACTGCTATAAGGGAATAAAAACCGGGAGATATTTACCAAAACTAGAGCACTGAGAATTTGGTGCAGCTGCGCATGGTAGCCAATCAGGTTCTAACTTCAGCTTCTTCAATTGGGCTTTGGCAATAAAACCTGGAAGGAGATTGGTTTCTGTGCAGAGCTGCACCAGAGTTTGCACATTCGTTTTAGTAACTCAACCCCACTGTGTAGGTGTATTTTAGGTTTGTATGTCTCAGAGTATACATCTAAAAAAACACTTCAGTTAAAATGTTTACATACTGTTGAACGCGGCATGCTTCACATATTAGAAGAGCCTTTCTTAAATTTCTTCCAGATTTTTCTGCAATTCTTCGAGCAAGATCTTGTGGTAGAGACAGTCCTTCTTTCTTGCATACACTAAACAAAACTGTGCAGATCTGCAAAGAAATACTTGGTTAGATCTGTATTGCCTGGTAACAGGAACGGAACACTCTGCACAGAGATATGACGATTGCAAGAAATGCTCCTTTATACAAGAACATAGAGGCAGCAAAGTGAGGACAATTGGCAAGAATATGTTCTTCCCTATGAATTGCTGTAAAGTTCTGCAGAGTCATGGTAAGAGGTTTTAAACCCCACTAATGTTTTAGGGCCCGTTCACACCATAATTCAGAGATGTCAGTTTTTCTGCACACATTCTGTAAGGGCACAACAAAATGAATTGTTCTCTATGTGCCCTGTTCACAGCGCAGCGCTAGTATCATGTGCAGATTTGTTCTGCACAGGAATCTGCAACGTGTATACAATTAATTGAAATGCGCATGAAATCTGACGTAAACTGATGCCTCTGCAAGTGAAATCTGAGCGTCCGTTTCAATCAAATTTTCAGCATGTATGATGTGAACGAGGCCTTAAAAGAGTCACCTCTTCCATCAGCAGGAAACACAATGTGGAACTAATATCTCTACATTGGTCAAGAAATGCTACAAAATCTGCTAAATGACTAAAAAAAATGGAAGTCTAAACTGGTTTGTTCCCCTGGTGATAATCTTCACTAAAAGGAGCAAGTGGAAGATCGTAAAAATGGTGAAAACATATGCATGGCTGAGGGCCAGCGGCATCATTGTGCTTCTATGGGATATGCAATGTGCTCTTCTCATGTGTTCGAGATCATTCAGAATTCATTGAAGGTGCATATGACCTGCTTGAAGATTCTTTTGCATTCCCATAAAGTTTATTGGAAGAGAGGCAGCTCGGAAACAAACACAAGCCCTTAATTAGGTTTATTGTGCAATGCAAAGAGCAATAAAACTATAAAGTGTATTTATCTATAGAAAACAATCATATTTCAGTTTACAGACATCTGATCAGTGAACAATGAATTCTGTTGAAACCCTTTATTTGGTGAGGCAGAATGTATGTAACCAGGCTGAACATAAATATAATAGAGGACACAATAGCAGAAGCCCCAAACTTGAAACTATTGGGGTTTTTATTTAAACCTAAGCTGCCCCAAAGAATACCAGGTTGCATCATAGCTTTTTTGCAACTTTACAGATCACAATTCTGCAGGCGCTGGACAACTATAACTGGTAAATAGGTCACAATGTTTAGCAATGAAAATGCTTTAGGCACAGAGTAGAAAGATAGAAAAGAAAAAATATATATATCTTTCACTAGAATCCTGTTTTGAAAAAATAATTCCCAGTCAACTAAAGGTTTACCTCTTCAATGCTGGGAGCTGGCACACGAACTGCCAAACATCTGCTACGTATTGGAGCAATGACTTTAGATGTAGAATTACAACACAGAATGAGTCTGCAAGTAGCCATGTATTTCTCCATGGTTCTTCTCAAAGCATGCTGAGCATCTTTAGTGAGTTTATCCACTTCAGTTAGCAATACAACTGCAAGACAAAAAAAAAATGCATGACATGTACATGTATTAAAAATAACCTTCACTTATAATTATAGGATTGGTGCAGGAATCTGAATATAGTGGATAGGTCATACGCAGTGCAAAGTTATATTAACCCCTAGGCGCCGGCTCCTCCCGGCCCTTTAAGGGTTCCAGAAGCCGGGAAGAGGGGCTTTAGGGTCACGTGACCACCGTGATTTGCTGTCACATGATCGGGAAAGGTCCCGATCGAAAGAGGAGATTGGGACCTTTCCGTAAGTACCGAATGTGTGTGCTGGTAGCACGCAGGGCACGCGCTCTTAGCAGATATGTGTTTTTTTTTAATAGAACGCAAATATGCGGCCGCTCAGCATCTAGGCCCAGTAGCCGGGAGGCTGCTCATTTGCGTTCGGCCGGCACCAAGAGGTTAACATATCTCACAGAGAGGTAATCATTTATTACCTCATTTCCTATTCATATTAGCATATCCTGTGTATGACCAGATGATGGCTCAAATTTAATAGGATAAGTTACACTGGATCAAACAGAGTGTGCTGTACAACTCATCATGTATGTGGAGAGTGCGATTTGCTAAAAAGAAGGTATCAAACAGCAGACCATGTACCTATGCATATATGAGGGGTATCATACTCATTATCCATGGGTGTGTAAATGTGTTGGTGTGTGTGTAGGAAAATCTCACATTACAGACACCAATGTAACGAATACCAAATGTAAGTTTATTCCGAATCACAGCCAGAATGTGCTAATTATCAGGGTTTAAGGAACAATTTGTTTACAAGTCATTTTCAGGCACACAAAATAATGTTAGTTTATTAGGTTAACAAGACAGACTTCCTTTAAATAGGTTCCTGGACATATTTTAGGCCTTGATACAAACCTTTAAAATCTCTCTGTGTACTTGTTTCAAGTTGCTGAGACTGGGCCACAGTCTTCAATAATTCTTGAATAACAACACGATCGCTATTGCCAGCATCACTGGGAAAGAAACAACAATTACAAACAGTCTAGGATTGTTCTTAATTATATTATGTTTGTAATAATCACCCCTGAAGGATGGAAAAAGGAGAAAAACCCCTTATAAAGGCTAAGTATATTAGGTTACAAGCGACCTCCTCTATTAAGCTAGTCAACTGAAATTATGACACAAGAAACTAGTCATTGTTAGAAGTATAACCTTCAACATTGCTTCCCTAATAACAATACAAGAACATTCATAAAAAAGCTACATGTGGCTTACTTCTGCAAACCAGGTTTCCCGTGTGTAAGCACCACATAAGTGGGAAAAAAAGAAAATTGTGTGATTTTCTTTCTTGGTGATTTCATCACAAGACTAAAAGATTAGGTTATTTCAAGTGATCAAAGATAATTCAATATTTAGAAATTACTGTAAACCACAGAGTATGGCATACCTTGGATTCACTTCTAAATGGTAGTTGCTTGCTATAGTGCTAATTTCAATCTTCTTTTTAGAAGGCGTCTAATGAAATAAAAATGAAGGCATACATTAGTGCACGGAATACTGTTTTAGTAGTCAGACTAGGTCTGTGCCTTATAGTTTTACTGCTTAGGTCAGTCACTGGCTGCAGCCATTCTTTTAAGCAGCAGAATCTATAGGACCCTTCTGCTATAAGTTCATAGTCATTGTACGTGCTTATAAAAGAAGGGCATGCCAAGGACGCAAGGTCTTCTGAGCTGGCTTGTTGGAATCAGTTCTGTTCCAACGTAAGCCTTAAAGTTCTGGTTCACCCCGGATCCGACTCTGAAACTGTGCGACTTCACTTGAAGTCGCACGATTTCAAAGCCAAATGTCAGTGCGATTTGGAAGACATCTGTGCGACTTCATGCACAGATGTCTATGCAAATTGCACCAGAAATCGCAAAAAATAGTGCAGGAACATTTTTTTTTTCAAATCAGTGTGGCACTGCAAAGTCGGAGTTTCATTGTCAACAACAGGGTGCGACTTGTCATGCGATTTGAGACTGTCAAATCGCATGACAAGTTGCACCGGTGTGAACCAGGGCTAAAGTAAAGTTTAAAAATGTTCCCTCCCCTCTCATAGAAACTTGGAAAAGTGACCACAGAAAAAAGACCAAGTGGTTAATCAAGTGTGACTTTTTTTTTCTAAATTTATACATTTTTGTATTTTATTTTTTTTTTACTTTTTGTGTCCGAGTATAGATCTAGGTTTGTCCAAAGAGTGGTTTGAATCTACTTACTGTTGACTGACTCACTACCTCTGCTAGCAGTCTGTTCCAAACATCAACTACCTTTTCAGTAAAATAATACTTTCCAAGATTAGTTTTGAACTTTCCTCCTGCTACCTATTCTCCTACCCAGCCACAAAAAAAAAAAAAAAAAAAAGAGAAGATGTATATTGCTTACCTTTTTTAAAGAGGAGCTCCACCCAAAAGGGGGAAGTTCCACTTTAAGGACTGCTCACCTCCCCCCTCCCCATTACAGATTGGCACCTTTGGGTGGGGAGTGGGTACCCGAATTTGACAGGTACCCGCTCCCATTTTGGTCTGACTGCCTAGGCGATCGGAAAGTGAAATGTGTCCTCCCCCCCTCCCTGTAGTCTTTTGGGACACCTGACAGGTCCCAGAAGACTAAAGGATCATTCATGAAGTGCAGTGCTACTCGCACATGCGTAGTGGGTACCTGGCTGTGAAGCGCAAACTATCACAGCTGGATGCCCACACTGAAGATGCCGGCCTCCTGGAATCCAGGACGGCCGGTGAAACGGGCGGCGGCGGACACACCACGGGACAGGTAAAAGGGACAGGTAAGCTACAGTTTTTGTAGCTGCTAGCTGCTAACTTATTTTTTTGACAGGTAAGTGGAACTCCACTTTAAGTCCGCTCCGGTCACATGATCCGCAGCTCTGGCTCCCCTGTGTCAGGGGAGAGGAGGATGTGCCAACAACAGCTGGGACATGAGAGCCTATGAGTGACATCACGGCTCCAAAAACTCCCAAACATTGTCCAATGCTCCCTCCTGCCGCTGCTCACTGACAGAGGAGAGGGGGCGGGGAGGAACATTCATAAACACAGTTAATATTAGGCAGGAATTCCACTTTAAGTCCTTAGCAACAAAAACAGCAACTTTCATTGTGCACAATTTAAAAGTCTTTTTAGCATGCATTATGCACACTAAGGGGCTAAAAGTTTAGAGTCTGAAGTCGGCCATAGATAGTTGAAATCTTGGCCAGTTCAGCAGGACACAGCCTGTACAACTGTGCAAGAGTAAAGGAAGGCTAAAGTTCAGCTTTAAGTTTTTAAAGATGCAAGCCTACAAAACATATTTCTGAAGAAATGTATTTACAGGAGGAAGACTAAAGAACAGAAATTGTTCATGGTGCAAAGTGTATATACTACTACGTATATGGTAAAATGTACCTCCAAATGAGTGCATTTAAAATAACTTTTTATAGCCCTGAATGCATGTGTTGCGGCATCCAAGAAATGTTGGATGTCAGATTGTCCTTCAATAAATGGTGGTGGGGGCCCAAATATTTGTGTGGGTTACAACCTATCTGTTCCTAGATATGCACAGACAAACATGTATACTTGGCAAAGCTAAGGATTCATATTTATGGAGTAGACGCTGCTGCCAGGGGGCAGTGAGATCTGCAAAACACATCGTGATCCTGCAAAAGGCCAACAGAAAATGGCCACCAACATATACACATCCACACTGAATGGAATGAATGCATACAGATAAAATATGTGATCTGTGTGCACAAATGAATAAATACAGTATGAAGTATGTCTTATTGTGAATATTAAACGCATAATATGGAAATTCTAACCTTTTCAAACACAAAGAATAAAAAAAATATCAAGGCTAGTGACACGTTACCGTTATTGACTGATGTTCAATCCTAAGTTTTTCTACTCCGGCTCCATACAGCTCTCTTAACAAGCACATTATTCTGGTCTTCTTTCCGGCTCCAGATGGTCCATACACAAGGAGGTGAGGAAAATCTCCACATTGGACCTGCAATAGCAATACGGATGTAAAATCTGGAATATATCTCCAAATATTACAATAAACTCTTGGATTAAAGGTGATCTTTTCAAACATTTTTTTTTGGTATACATGTAAGAGCCATCAGCATGATGAAAACGATGTTGTCAATGTGTGTAAATGTTCTTGACCATGCTGTCAAGTACAGTCTCTACATTTACATGCACATAAAGTGTGATATCATTATGAACAATACATACAAGTAATGTGTGGGCACTTGGTGTTGTTTCCTAAAGTGACTGTAAAGCGTATATATTTTAGAGGTTTATACTTCCCTGCTATGTACACAGAGTGGTCCCCTGGCAATGCTGTCCTCTCCTCCTCCCTGGGAGTGCCCTCATAGCAAGCTGGATGCTCTGGGGTGCACATTCCCCAGCTGGCCTGTGTGCGTCCAAAACAGTAGCTAAATGGTTTTTACCGTAATGCATGGAGATAAACAAGGTTTACATTTTAGAACCACTTTAAGCTGGTCAAGACCTCCCTAATAACTGGTGCAAAGAAGGCTACAGCCCAGACAAATGTAGTACTATTGGGGTTATCTGACAAACGGCCTGAAGCTGTGAGATGGCCATAGATAGTTTGAATTTTGGCAGATTCCTACTGAAAAAAAGGGTGACTGGTCGAGGGGAAGCCCTGCAAGGACCACCCAGTTCAACAAATGTCAAATTAAAGTTCACCATACACATTACTATGTAACTGATGATTGTGCTGAGAGTGTAAAGTCAGACAGTAACGTGTATGGTGACCCTAAGGATCTACCAAGCTAGTTAGAAATAACTGGCAGTCATCGTCATTGGCACATGCAGTCATTGTTTGGGTCTTCAGGATGCTGCCTGAGCACAAATGCTGGAAGTGGAAATTCCTCTATTCATGTCATGAATGGAGGAGAGGATTAATTTTCTCTTGTTCAGCCTGGTGAATGGGGCTGATTATGAAAATATCCCTGTGAACGGTCAGCTTAACACACAGACTGGATCTGCCTATGTAGACAACATTATGCAGCAGTCCTGTGCCAATCACCAATCCTGTCACATGGAGTAAATTACATGCTTTATTCCAATAAAGCAGCCCATACGTGAATCATTTTTCATTCGACCAACGGATGGAATGGGAAAAAAAGACTCAATTCCCCCATCCACACATTCATTGTGGATAGAGGAATTACTCCTGGCTGAGCAATTGTATTTTGACGATGATGAGACTTTCCCGCCTTCAGAATACACTAATCAGCACTGCAAGCTGTAGCCAGCAGAAATTTTCCAACAGGTTGGTTGTACAGAAGTCGATCGGGAGGTTTACTTCTGTACAACCTGCCTGCGCTTACATGGATCAAAATTCAGCCAGACCCTGCTGAACCAGTCAAATTTTGATGCATGTATTAGTGATGCGCCGAAACATTTCGGCTGAAAATATCCCTGTCGGCCGCTGGCCGATATAAAAAACAAGCACAGCTGCTGAAAATAACCCCCGCCACCGCCTGTCCACTGCTCGGTAGTTCTCAGCCTTACCTGGGAAACCACTGAAAGATCCTGGTGCTGGGCATAGAGATAAGTGAAGGATATATGGCCTCCACTCATCTCTATGCCCTTGGAGGACCGGAACGATGTCATTTCCAGTTCTGACGCCTTGTAAACAAGGTCATTTTTTTATTTTTTTTTTTAAGCACTAGATCAATGCAGAGGAGAGATGTGCTGTCTTATTGACCCCATATCTCTCCATAAAGAGGACCTATCACTAATTATTTCTTGCATGCATACCTTGTGATAGGAATAAAAGTGATTCAATTTTTTTTTTAAAGGGACAGTGTAAAAATAAATAAATAAAGTTTAAAGTGCCCCCCCCCCCCCCCGCTCGTAGTAGTGAACATATACATAGGTCACACCCAAATATGTAAACGATGTTCAAACCCCACATATGAGGTATCACCACGAACGTCAGAGCAAAAGCAATAATTCTAGCACTAGACTTCCTCTGTAACTTTACACTGCTAACCTGTAGACATTTTTAAAGCGTTACCTGTGGAGATTTTTAAGTATCATAGTTTGCCGCCATTCCACGAGTGTGCGCAATTTTAAAGCATGACATGTTGGGTATCTATTTACTCAGCGCAACATCATCTTTCATATTATACAAAAACATTGGGGTATATATTTTGTATGTTTTAATCAGTAAAGTGTATTTTTGTCCAAAAAAAATTGTGTTTGAAAAATATATTGATTTTTACAAACTGTCCATTTCGGTTTTCGGCCAAGTGCATCCTGAATTCTCAGTTTCAGCACCAGAATTTTCATTTCGGTGCACCACTACCATGTATGGCTGGCTTAAGTCCTTTGTATCGTCATCACTCCTTGCAGCTGAATGAAGCAGTGGGGAGTAAAGGAAACAGGAGTGTATGTTGCAGAGGACAGGGACATTTAAACATACGTTCACATGTTACATCCGCATATAAAGGTGTAACATGTTGCAGCACCTCCCCCATCCTCACCCCAAGTACCTCCTCTTCCTGTGACAGCAGGCATGGTTTCTCCTCCCCTGCAGCCGCTGACATATTTAAAATTGGCATGGGTAAGATCGGAGAATGAATAAACTTCAAGTCCTGTCCACCACCGCGAAAATCATTTCAATAGACTGAATGTGCTGATTAGAGCACATTCCATTGACACTTCCTCCATCTTTCTAATTAAAAGTCTGTACAGGAGTACAGCAGAGCGCTGCAGGATGACATTGCACCCCTGATCCCACAGATTGTGGGTGCAATACTCTGCAGGGCCCAGAGGGAAAAAAAATAGATTTTTTTTTTTTCTTCCTGCACATTTTTGTGCATTTATTTTTCTCCTTAATGGTGAGTTCAGCCTTTAGAGCTAACTTTTTGTTTTGCCCCCTTATACTTATATATAACCTATACTTCCTGTCTGTACGAAAGTGTGTGTGTGTTACATAGGGGCACTCTGTGTCCTCCTGTACAATGTAGGACTGAAGATTCTGCATTGTACAGGATGACATCAGAGAGCTGCGACCGGTCAGGCAGTGTAGGATATAGGATTAGGGTGACCAGGCCCATGGAGAGGAGGAAGCCTGCAAGAGTGAGGAATAAGGGAAGGATATTTTTCATCATCTGCTGGGCAAGACAAGAGGCTAAGCTGCCCATAGATGGACCATGGTTCTTTTTTTTTTTTTTTTATAAGAATAGAAAGAAAAAAAAAAAAAAAGGAACGGATTCCTCCATCCATACAAACAAGGTGGATGGACTAATCCGCCCTCCTTAGAGGCATTGTATTCTGACAGCGGGACCTTTCACTGTTAGAGTACATCCATCAGCTGCTGCACCCCAGCTGACCAAAAAACAAATCCAACATTACCGAGTGACAGAATTGGTCTAACAATCGAACAGGGACTGTCACACATGAATTGAAATTTGTCTGGTTCCTGCTAAGCTGGCTGAATTTCGGTCCTTCTGTGGCCAGCTTTAGACCTTGCAGTGTGGAAGAGAAATATTGTTTATTTCCCCGGAGCTCAGCTTTAGGCCTGCCATACACACACATATAATCTGACATGACCCGAGACTAATGTGACTGCCTTTACTGACCATACACTGTACAATCATCTACAGAGAACCATACACTGTACAATCATCTCATACAATGTACTATCATCTACAGAGGACCATACACTGTACAATCATCTCATACAATGTGCTATCATCTACAGAGAACAATACACTGTACAATCATCTCATACAATGTACTATCATCTACAGAGGACCATACACTGTACAATCATCTCATACAATGTACAATCATCTACAGAGGACCATACGCTGTACAATCATCTCATACACTGTACAATCATCTACGGAGGACCATACACTGTACAATCATCTCATACACTGTACAATCATCTACAGAGAACCATACACTGTACAATCATCTCAAACAATGTAGATTGTAAGCTCGTAAGAGTAGGGCCCTCTTACCCCTCGTACGTTGTTTGTTGTTGTTGTACTGTGCCATGTATTGTCCCCCCTATTGTACAGCGCTGAGCAAACCCTTTGGCGCTATATAAACTCGTAGTAATAATAATAATAATAATAATACAATCATCTACAGAGGACCATACACCGTACAATCATCTCATACACTGTACAATCATCTACAGAGAACCATACACTGTACAATCATCTACAGAGGACCATACACTGTACAATCATCTACAGAGGACCATGCACTGTACAAACATCTACAGAGGACCATACACTGTACTATCATCTACAGAGGACCATACACTGTACAATCATCTCATACACTGTACAATCATCTACAGAGGACCATACACTGTACAATCATTTCATACAATGTACAATCAGCCACAGAGGACCATACACTGTACAATCATCTACAGAGGACCATACACTGTACAATCATCTACAGAGGACCATGCACTGTACAAACATCTACAGAGGACCATACACTGTACAATCATCTACAGAGGACCATACACTGTACAATCATCTCATACAATGTACAATCAGCCACAGAGGACCATACACTGTACAATCATCTCATACACTGTACAATCATCTACAGAGGACCATACACTGTACAATCACCTCATACAATGTACAATCATCTACAGAGGACCATACACTGTACAATCACCTCATACAATGCACTATCATCTATAGAGGACCATGCACTGTACAATCATCTCATACAATGTACTATCATCTACAGAGGACCATACACTGTACAATCATCTCATACACTGTACAATCATCTACAGAGGACCATACACTGTACAATCACCTCATACAATGTACAATCATCTACAGAGGACCATACACTGTACAATTACCTCATACAATGCACTATCATCTACAGAGGACCATGCACTGTACAATCATCTCATAGAATGTACTATCATCTACAGAGGTCCATACACTGTACAATCACCTCATACAATGCACTATCATCTACAGGACCATACACTGTACAATCACCTCATACAATGCACTATCATCTACAGGACCATACACTGTACAATCACCTCATACAATGCACTATCATCTATAGAGGACCATGCACTGTACAATCATCTCATACAATGTACTATCATCTACAGAGGACCATACACTGTACAATCATCTCATACAATGTACAATCATCTACAGAGAACCATACACTGTACAATCATCTCATACAATGTACAATCATCTACAGAGAACCATACACTGTACAATCATCTCATACAATGTACAATCATCTACAGAGGACCATACACTGTACAATCATCTCATACACTGTACAATCATCTACAGAGAACCATACACTGTACAATCATCTCATACAATGTACAATCATCTACAGAGGACCATACACTGTACAATCACCTCATACAATGTACAATCATCTACAGAGGACCATACACTGTACAATCACCTCATACAATGCACTATCATCTATAGAGGACCATGCACTGTACAATCATCTCATACAATGTACTATCATCTACAGAGGACCATACACTGTACAATCACCTCATACAATGTACTATCATCTACAGAGGACCATACACTGTACAATCACCTCATACAATGTACAATCATCTACAGAGGACCATACACTGTACAATCACCTCATACAATGCACTATCATCTAACGAGGACCATGCACTGTACAATCATCTCATACAATGTACTATCATCTATAGAGGACCATACACTGTACAATCATCTCATACAATGTACTATCATCTATAGAGGACCATACACTGTACAATCATCTATAGAGAACCATACACTGTACAATCATCTCATACAATGTACTATCATCTATAGAGGACCATACACCGTACAATCATCTCATACAATGTACTATCATCTATAGAGGACCATACACTGTACAATCATCTCATACACTGTACAATCATCTATGGAGGACCATACACTGTACAATCATATACACTGTACAATCTATGGAGGACCATACACTGTACAATAATCTCATACAATGTACTATCATCTATAGAGGACCATACACTGTACAATCATCTCATACAATGTACTATCATCTATGGAGGACCATACACTGTACAATAATCTCATACAATGTACTATCATCTATAGAGGACCATACACTGTACAATCATCTATCGTCTATCAAGCACCATACACTGTACAATCATCTCATACAATGTACAATCATCTATGGAGGCCCATACACTGTACAATCATCTATGGAGGGCCATACACTGTACAATCATCTCATACAATGTACAATCATCTATAGAGGACCATACACCATATAGATGATTGTACAATGTATGAGATGATTGTACAGTGTATGGTCCTCCATAGATGATTGTACATTGTATGAGATGATTGTACAGTGTATGGTGCTTGATAGACGATAGATGATTGTACAGTGTATGGTTCTCTATAGATGATTGTACAGTGCATGGTCCTCTATAGATGACAGTACATTGTATGAGATGATTGTACAGTGTATGGTCCTCTATAGATGATAGTACATTGTATGAGATGATTGTACGGTGTATGGTCCTCTACAGATGATTGTACAGTGAATGTTTCTCGCTACAATTGTGTGTCTCCGGCTGAAGTTACCAGATTCTTCAGCTGGGCCGCCTGCTGCTTATGATAGTCCAGCTTGTTGAGGGCGCTGGGCCGGTACTTGTCCACCCACAGACTCATCTCCTCCACTCGGGGCACCGACTCGGCTCTTCACCTTCAAATCTGGCGCGAAACCGACCAGCCCCCCTAAACCCGCCAAATCCCAGTCCTCACAGGAGCATGCGCAGTGCTGGGTTCCCAGGCAGGCCGGCTGATAGGGGGACTTTGTCCGGGAATTCACTGTCCTCAATACAGGAGACAATCTTCACAGACTCCGCTCAGTGACATGTGGTCTCCTTGAAAATGGCCGCTGCCAGCTCCGTGTTTTGTCCTGATAGCACAACCCGCTGCTGATATTAATATTACTGGGTCGCATTCGTATTTCTCTGTGTAAAAGTAGGCGGTGCCCAGAGAAACCAATCAGCGTCCACACAAAGCGGGGGAGTGTGCTTGGAAGCCTGGCAGAGATGTCTATGGTGACAGGCCGGGTTAGGGGCTTGTTCCTGATACATGTTTGGTCACCCTGGCCGTACCATAGCTGTGTTTAGACTGTTGTATTGAATACAAGTCTTCACCTCAGTGTCAGGGAAGGGCCTGGGGTTGTAGTCACCAGTAGTCATAGTACGGCATCACCATAAAAGTATAAATTGCATGGTAAGGATACCCAGCATGACTATGTTTTATAAGCCATTAAAAATGTTGTAACATCACCATCTATACATATGGTTACAGAGATAGTTTCTATATGGGCAGCACAGTGGCTAAATGGTTAGCACTTCTGCCTGGCAGTACTAGGGTTGTTGGTTTGAATCCCAGCCATGGCACCACCTGCCTGGAGTTTGCATGTTTTCCCTGTGTCTCCATGGGTTTTCTCTGGGTACTCTGGCTTCCTCCCACACTCCAAAATATGTTGGTAGGTTAATTGGCTCCTGTCTAAATTGGCCCTAGTATGTGTATGTATGAATGTGAGTTAGGGACCTTAGATTGTACACCCCCTTGAGGGTTAGGGACTGATGTGACTGTACAATATATATGTAAAGTGCTACGTAAATTGACGGCGCTATAAACAGGTGTATTTTGGTTTTGTGCTGCCCTAGGCACTAACATCTGCCTCCCCCTCCCATCTAAATTGAGAGCGAAATATATAAAGAGGGAGAGAAAGAGAAAAAGGGAAAAAGGAAGAAAAAATAGAGATAAAGAGGGAGAGGGGGAGAAAGAAAGATAAAGAGCGAGTGATAAAGAGGGAGGGAGAGAATGATAGGGGGAGATAGATATAAAGAGAGTGAAAGAGATAAAGAGGGAGGGAAAGAAAGAGATATAAAGAGAGAGATGAAGAGGGAGAGAAAGAGATACAGAGAGAGAAATAAAGAGAGGGAGAAAGAGATAGATGGAGAGAGATATGAAGCGAGAGAAAGATAAAGAGAGAGAAAGAGGGAGGGAGGGAGAGAAAGAGAGATATAGAGAGAGAGAGAGAGAGAGAGAGAGAGAAGAGAGGTATAAAGAGAGAGAAAGAAGGAGAGAGATAGGGAGAGAAAGAGAGATAGAAATAGAGAGTGAAAGATAAAGAAGAAGGGAAAGAGAAAGATAAAGAGTGGGGGATAAAAAGAGATATAAAAAGAGAGAGGGAGAGAAAGAAAGATAAAGAGGGAGAGAAAGATAGAAAAAGATAAAGAGTGAGATAAGAGTGAGTGATAAAGAGGGAGGGAGAGAAAGAGATCAAGAGAGAGGGAGAGAGATAGAAAGAGAGTGAAAGAGATAAAGAGGGAGGGAGAGAAAAAGAGATATAAAGAGAGAAAGAGATTGAGAGAGAGATAGAAAGATAGAGAAATGGGGGGTATAAAGAGAGTGAAAGAGAGAAAGAGATATAAAGAGGGAGAGAAAGAGATCGAGAGAGAGAGATAGAAAGATAGAGGGGGAGATATAAAAAAAGAGAGATAAAGAGGGAGGGAGAGAAAGAGATATAAAGAGAGAAAGATAACGAGGAAGAGAAAGAGATCGAGAGAGAGATAGAAAGATAGAGGGGGAGAGATATAAAAAGAGTGAAAGAGATAAAGAGAGAGGGAGAGAAAGAGATATAAAGAGAGAGATGAAGAGGGAGAGAAAGATAAGGAGAGAGAGAAAGAGGGAGGGGGAGGGGAGAGAGAGACAGAGATAAAGGGAGAGAAAGAAGGAGAGAGATAAAGAGGGAGGGAGGGAAAAAAAAAGAGAGATAGGAGAGAAAGAAGGAAAGATAAAGAGTGAGTGATAAAGAGGGAGAGAGAGAGAGAAAGAAGAAAGAAGAGAGAGACATAGAAAGATAGAGGGAGAGAGATATAAAGAGAGAGAGAGAGAAAAGAAAGAGAGAGAAAGAGAATAAAGAAGGAGGGAGAGAAAGATATATATATGTAAAGAGAGAGAGATAAAAAAGGGAGAGGGAGGGAGAAAGATAGAAAATAGAGGGCAAGAGATATAAAGAGAGAAAAAAAGAGGGAGAGAAAAGATAAAGAGAGAGAGAGAAAGAGGGATGGAGAGAAAAAGAGATATAGAAAGAGATAAAAAGGGAGAGAATGAGATCAAGTGAAAGAGACAGAAAGAGATAAAGAGGGAGAGAGAGAAAGAAAGATAGATAGGGAGGGAGAGAAAGAGAGAAAGATAAAGAGGGAGGGAGAGATGAAAAGAGAGAGTCTAGGCTGATCAGATAGGATCCCCAGTGCAGCTGGTACTTGTAGTCCTCCAGGCTGTATTGATCTGCTCACTATAACAGTATATAACAATGGAACAGCAGATCCCATCCTTCCATCTTCCTCCTTGCTGTTCTGTCTCCTGCTGAGGTGTCTGCCTCTTTCTACTCATACTCCTTCCATCCCCTCTGTACACACAACACTGACACCCAGCAACTGTCATAGCTGCAGCAAGCCGGTCACTCTCTCTGCTGCTGCAGATTGCTCACCTGTCACCCATCTCAGCCCAGGAGAAGTAAACCTTCTCTGACACCAAGCTCTGCGCTGACCTGGAGTTTAGCAGCCAGTGAGTGAGCTCATGCAGTTCCGGCCCTCACCTGATCCCCATCGTCGGTCACCTGCCAGCTGCCTCGTGTGTCCCTTCTTCTGGGTGGCGGCGCCGCCCCCCTGAAAAATGCCGCCCTAGGCAAATGCCTTGTTTGCCTCGTGGTGGATACTCCCCTGGCTATATAAGTACCTGAAATAAATAAATAATATGATCCACGTTTCGGAGTGACTTCACATCTTCTTCAGGGAAAATGAAGAACTCTGCATATGGGTGACATCATCTACAAGATTGTACATATATTTGTTTGAAATATTTCTTGTATCCATTACAATATTTTACAATTTACAATCTGTAGATATACTCACAATACATGAAAGTGCAGAAAAAATAGTTGAGTTTCCAACCCATTTAAAAGACATGGTACTTCAAAATGCTGCTTCCTCATAGTTGGAAGACCGGTATATATTTATGCCTTCAAAGTCCCAAGTCCTACAGGGGTTCTTTTCCCTTTATTTATCTTGTAATTCTGGGGATGTTGGCTACTGATCAGGCAACCCCTTTTCTTCTCTATAGAGTACAGGGGTCAGGAGCGTGTAATGTACAGAGTACAGGGGTCAGGAGCGTGTAATGTACAGAGTACAGGTGTCAGGACTGTATAATGTAGAGTACAAGGGTCAGGACTGTATAATGTACAGTGTCAGGAGTATGTAATGTACAGAATACAAGGGTCAAGAGTATGTAATGTACAGAGTACAGGGATCAGTTGTGTGTAATGTACAGAGTACAGGAATCAGGAGTGTGTAATGTACAGAGTGCAGGGGTCAGGAATGTGTAATGTACAGAGTACAGGGGTCAGGAGTGTGTAATGTAGAGTACAAGGGTCAGGACTGTGTAATGTACAGTGTCAGGAGTATGTAATGTACAGAATACAAGGGTCAAGAGTATGTAATGTACAGAGTACAGGGATCAGGAGTGTGTAATGTACAGAGTACAGGAATCAGGAGTGTGTAATGTACAGAGTGCAGGGGTCACGAGTGTGTAATGTACAGAGTACAGGGGTCACGAGTGTGTAATGTACAGAATACAAGGGTCAAGAGTGTGTAATGTAGAGTACAGGGGTCAGGACTGTGTAATGTACAGAGTACAGGGATCAGGACTGTGTAATGTACAGAGTACAGGGGTCAGGACTGTGTAATGTACAGTGTACAGGTGTCAAGCATGTGTAACACAGAGTGCAAGGGTCAGGAGAGCATAATGTACAGGTGAGTAAACAGTATGCAATCAAAAATTACCTCCCTCAAGTCAAACGCGTGTGCTTTTTTATTTAACGTGGGAGCTCCTCCTGGCAAATTATCTCTTGTTCAGTTTTTGTGTGATCCTCTGGCTGTCGTTGGTAAAACACAAAATTCATGTTCATTTTTTATGTAAAAGAGTTTGTTTCCACTTTTGACATTATATTGTGCTGCACCCAGGATACATGTGTTTGAGTGATTTGTTTAGCATTAACATAATATCATTTTGGAATTGCACAGGCAGAAATTTGTACAGCTGTGATTTTTTTCAAATGTTTTTGATCATTAAAATTCACTATGACATGCATGCTGATATGAGAGTTTGATGCTCCTTAATCATAAAAAGACAGGTTATAGCATAGACATTTAGACCCAGAAGGTGATCGCTCTATATTGTCCATGTGGCATATACGTAATAAATATACTGTATACTAATTCCAGTAACTTGTTTTAGCTTTTTAATAATTATGCTTAGTATATATCAAAAACAAAATCAAGCAATAAATATACCCCTTCACCACACCAATATTTAAAACAACGTTGTCTTTTACTCACATTTGCCATCCGGATGTCACATTAGCCTAAGGGTCAGTTCACACTACATCCGTTTCAGTTGCTTTTTTTCTGCGTCGAAAACGCACATAAAGTAGGTTATATGGTTGTCATGTCATAGTTCACATCAGTGCTTGCAGTTCTAGTGCATTCCGGTTGAAGAAAAAAAGTAGAACGCGCTCCATTGATCCTGCACAGAACTGTACTGGAACGTGGTAAAATGCATCAAAAAGACCCCCGGAACGCACC